CAGAAAACATTATTTCTCATAGAAAGTTGTTTGACAAATTCTTTTTCATCTTCATATCCTATCCAGATGAATAGCTGCAAACACCTTTGAGGGAATGAGGAAGGAGGGAGGTACACAGAAATGCCCAGCTGTCAATAAAACAGGGAGAACATGGTTTTATGGCACAAATACTGCACTTCATTTGGGTCAGAAGACTTGTGACTTTATTCCTAACTGTTACTTAGCTTACTGTATGTTGTTGGGCAAATCACTTTACCTTTGGGCCTCAATCTTGTCTTCTGGGTAGGAGACATTTTTTTTTTAACTTTTAAAAAAATTTATTATTTTTATTTTATGTGTATGCACGTATTGCCTGCCTGAAGGTAAGTGCACCCATGTTGTGCAATGCCTGTGGAGGTCAGAAGAGGTTGTCGGGTCCCCTAGGACTGGAGTTACAGACAGTTGTTAGCTGCTGTGTGGGTGTTGGGATTCGAACCCAGGTCTTCTGTAAGAACAACCAGTGTTCTTAACCAGTGAGCGATCTCTCCAGCCCCAGGATACGTATTTTAGAAAATAACCATATCCTAATGTTTGAAACTATTAGTTACCTTAAGAAATTTGAGTAAGCAGGTTTAATTTTGGTTAAAAAAGTAGTCTTGGGGACTGGAGAGATGGCTCAGTGGTTAAGAGCACAGGCTGCTCTTGCAGAGGACTGAGGTTCAGGTCCCAGTACCCACATGGCACTAATAACAGTAACTCCATTTCCAGGGGATCTAACCTCCTCCTCTGGCTTCTGTGGGCATTGCACACACAGGTACACTTACATATATGCAGGCATAACACTCATACACATAAATTAAAAATAAATAAGTAAAAAAAAATAAAAGTACTCTTAAGACTGGAGAGATGGCCCAGCAGTTAAGAACACTGACTGCTCTTGCTGAGGACCTGGGTTTGATTCCCAGCACCCACATGCCGGCTAACAACTGTCCCTAACTCCAGTTTCAGGGGATCTGCTGCCCGTTTTTGACCTCCATGGGCACTGGCACGTATAGATACACTTACATACGAACAAATAAGACAGTCATACAAATAAAATTGAAATCAATCAATCAATCAAAAAAGTAGTCTTTGGGGGTTAAGTGTGTAGTTCAGTGATAAAGAATTTGCCTAGCATGTTCAAGGCCCTGGGCGCAATCACCAGCGTCCCCCGTGCAGAGCAGTCTTAGGTGAGCTGCTGAAGTTCAGTTGATTTTTTTTTTTTTTTTTTGGTCTTTTTGAGACAGGGTCTCCCTGTAGCCCCAGCTGGCCTGGAACTCACTATGTAGACCAGGCTGGCCTCAAACTCACAGATATCTACCTGCCTCTGCCTCTCGAGTGCTGGGACTAAAGGTGTGGGCCACCATGCCCAGCGAACTTCAGTTTTTAAAGCCCTCTTTCAGCATGTGGTACCTTCAGATTTGGAGATGGAGGCATGCAATCCCTCAAACATGAAACTGTGGGAGCTCAAGGTCCAGACTCAGGTTTTTGAATGAACACTGGAAACCAAATTATGTCTGGGACATAATGAGTGGTTGGATTACTTACTACCTACTAAAGTTGTGACCCAATCTTACAGAATACTTAGGAAGATACAGATCTATAACATTATAAACAAGGAAGAAATAGAATTTGAGACTTCTTAATTGAACCTAGAATAAGTGATTTATTTTTGAGCTCTGAGTTTCCAAAGATAGAGCTTGATGATATGCATTTGTAACTGTGAAATTAACTATAGCTCAGTACTAATTTCTAGTCAAGTGTCAGAGGAAAAGTCATCCTCACCATTTCTTGGGAAGCTTCCTGTGGTCCTTATCTTGAAGTGAGACTGTCTTCTGCTCTCTGAGTCAGAAGGGAAAGTTTAGTGCCCCAAACTGTCCTCTGAAGGAAGAAATTCAACCATGGCTTAATGTGTGCTTGCAAATAATACTCTAGGGGGAAATTAAGCAAAAGTCTTCTGGGTTAGCAAGTACAATTAAAAGCTGGATTGCAAAAGTTATCTATTTACTGAAATAACTAATAAAATGTTAGACTCTGCTTGAAGTTTGATATAAGCATTGGTAACAATATTTTGCTTTACTTACTTATTATTGTGTGTATGTATACATTTGTGTTTGGGGTGCCCATGCACATGTTGGAGGCCAGAAGACAACTGTTCCTCAGGGTCTGTCTACTCTTTTGTTTTGATTTTTTTTTAAGACAGGCTCTCTCATTGGACTGGAGCTCACTAAGTAGGCTAGGCTGGCTGGCCAGTGAGTCACCAGAATCTGCCTGTCTCTGCCCTCCCAGTGCTGGGATTACAAGTGTGTGCCACCACGCTCAGCTTTTTTATGTGGGTTCTGAGGGTGGAACTCAGGTCCCTGTGCTTTCAAGGCAAGCACTTTTACAGACTGAGCTATCGCTCTAGCAGTACTTTAATTTTAAGGAAGACAGATTACACTTCCAGTACAGATTGGGTAACTGTTACTTTGATATCCCTAAATAATTGTGGAACCATTGTAATAAAAATGATATTTGCTAAATGGGAAGGCCTACCATCTGGTTACTTAAACTATTTTTGCTACCTCACAGATGCACATGGCCCAGTAGCAATGAGATGTGGGGAGCCGATATGAGTTTGCAGATCAAATCCAAAGGAATTTGAGAATTCAAACCATTCACTTGTTTTCCACACAAAGTGTTTTCCACATAAGAAAACAATGAGTCTAACTTATCTTCCTCTGTCCTGTTCTGGTATCTTTAAACATGCTCATCATGACAGGATGTAAATGGGCTTACAATATTATGTGAGCTTAGTGACTATTAAGAATGGTAAGCACTTGGCAGCAAACCATGTCCTTCTTGGTTCTTGTACCAGCAGCTCTATTCTCGAGTGCTTTTGGGGTGCACCCAGAAGAGCAAGTTGCTAGACCATATGATGAATGTCTCTCTATGTGTCAGAGAGATTCATGGGAAGAACAACTGTCCAAACCAACCTTTGTATCAGGCTCCATGTAAGCAGAGCCCCCCTCTCCCACCCCTCAGCCTAAAAGCACTTGACACTAGCAGGGACGGAGTAAATGCTTATTAAATACTGGCATCTGGGAAGCTTGTGAGTAGTCACATTGATGACTGTTGGCAGAAGGCTTATCTCAGAGCCTCTAGCCTTTGTGTTATGTGCATTGGCTGTGTGCCCAACATCTAGCTCAGGCTTTCTCAACCAGGGTACTGTTGACATCTCGGGCTAGATAATTCTATGTTGGGGATCGCTGTTCTGTGTATTGTCTAGGGCCTAGCATCATCCCTGGCTTCTACCCAATAGATCCCAGTGGTGTTCAACACTCCTCAGGGTACAGAAATGTCTGCAGACATTACCTACTGTCCCCATGTCAGGGGATGGGGTAAAATAATCCCTGGTTGCACAATATTTATCGAGTCTTTACAAGCATGGTAGGGATCAGAATCAGAAAGATGATACTCTCTTTCTCTTGTTTTTAATCAATATTTCTCCACCTACTTATTGAGAGCATTAGAGTCTCATAGTCTGCTTTCATTTGGTCTTTGTGTACAGTCTCCTACATCTGGAGGGAATCTTTCTAGGAGCTTCTATATAAGTTGAAAAGACCCATTACCCCCCCTCAGGGGAAGGAAAATATTAAATGAGGATAAAATAGAGAGAAATTGGACAAGCAGCTAAGGAGGCTGTTTTGTAGAATGCACATGGGTTGTCTTTGGGCCCAGGATAAAGAAAAGATCCATGTCCCTAAGTGGAATTCATTCGTATGAGAGCTCAAAAGCAACCTTTGTGCTAAAAGAAACTACCTGCATTTGCTTGCTATGTTGTCTTTGAATCTCAGCAACAAACCTCCGTGTTCTCTCTCGATGTGTGTGTGTGTGTGTTTATACACGTGCATGTGCACTAGTATATGTAAGTATATGTGCACAGGTGTGTGGAGGCCAGAGGTTGATGGTGGGCATCTTTTCCAATCATTTCTCCACAGTATTTGTGTATGTATAATGTATGTGTGTGCATGTCTAGTAAATGCATGTGTACATGTGCATGTGAACACGTGTACATGTGTGTGTGTAAAGGCTAGAGGCTGACATCAAGGGTTTTCCTCTACTGCTCTCCACCTTATCTTTTGAGGCAGGATGTCTCACTGAGCCCAGAGCTCCCCAATTAGCTAGAACAGCTGGCAGGCCATCTATCTCTGGGGATCTACCTAGCACTAAAATTACAGAGACATGCAACTGCACCCTGCTTTTGAATAGGTACCTGAGATCCACACTTAGGTCTTCATGCTTGTGTTGTGGGCACTTTACCAACTGAGCTGTCTCTTCAGCTCCTCCACCTTATTTTTTGAGACAAGGTCTCTCACTGAACCTGGAGCTCACAAATTTGACTAGAGTGGCTGCACCATGAATCCTCCTGTCTCCACCTCCCCAGTGCTGGGATTACAAGCATGTGCCCACAAACCCAGCTTTTTATGTGCATTCCGGGGATCTGAACTCAGGTACTTATACAGGAAGTACTTCATCAACTGAGACATTGCTCAGCCCCTGTCCATGGTCTTTTGATGAACAGATTTTTTTTTCTTGGCTTTGATTTACTTCCTATTTATGTTATGACTATCAGGAAGACACCAGCATGTACTTCAGGAACAAGTTGTCTCAGGGTACAGAAAGCAGTTAGCTAGCTGAAGGAATCTCCAAGCACAGTGATGATGTGTGTGTGCAAATCAAAAAATAAAAAATAATAAAAAACAAAAAACCTAGAACCATAGGATTCTTGCTTAACCCCAGCCAGTGGGCAATCTGCTTTAAAAAACCACTTATCCCATGTCCAAGGGGGAGAAATAATTTATGACAAGTAAAGCTCATGAAAAAATTCTAATTTCATTCGTGTTGCTACAAGTATAGTTTCATGCTTTTAAAAAATGTGGGCTGGTAACATTTTTCTACCTCACTTTACTTACAGTGTAGAGTTAAACAGGCGCCCTTACCTCTCCTCCAGTGCATGGAAAAGGACTGGAATATCTAGAGGTACAAATGGCTCCCTTCTTGACAACATCGTCTTCCAGGCCAAATGTAGCAGAGCAGTTTGTTGCAAAGTACTTATAAGGCTTCCATGTCTTCCCAAAGTCCTGGGACCGGTCCAGGACCATGGCTGCAGGCCTAGGGGACTTGAACACCATAATGAGGTGAGTGAAGTAAAATTCTGCTTCCAGGTCTAACTGGATCTTTTCTCTGTGCACATCCTCTGCGGACTGCCACCATGTGCGGGGAAACCGGAAGGGCGAGTCTGCCATGGCAGAGGGCAGGTGGGCCAGGTGAGGGTGGGCAGCGTTGCACTTGTCACACTTGGGCTGCTGGCAAGTGAGATCAGTATTCTCACTATAGAAGCAGTACAGTTCGGTGGCATTTTGACCACAGGTGGTGTCTGCCCAGAGTTTTCTCCCCAAAGCCAAGTTTCCCATTCGAGGATTGCAGGCCTTCTCACAGCGGGAACTTGCTCCAGCTACTCCGCTCAATCCTGTGAAGGGGAAATCATATGTCATTTGAGGAAAACCCATGAGGAATGGGAATGCTCTTCTGCGTGCCTGGTCCATCTACAACAGCCCAGTTATCCCCAAAGAGTATGAGCCTTTCCAATAAGGGTAGAATCTACCAAACTTGACTGTGTACACAATTGTGCATTTACAGTGTTTTTGTGTATACAAGTATGTGTGCTTGACTTTTATGTTCAGATATAAAATAACATAATAGAAATAAATCACTTCAGGTCAAGGGTGAGGAAAGAAAAAAGTGCAAACATTGGGGAGAAAAATGTTGGATCTCACTATGTAGCTCAGGCTGGCCTAGGACTCATATAGCCCCTACTGGCCTTGAGCTTGAGGCAAAATCTTCCTGCTTTGGCTTCCTAAAGTTCTAGAATTACAGACATGAACCACCATGCCCAACCTAATCTAATCTTTTAAATCCAATTTAGCATTATCTAAACATTCATTATGAAAATGCACTTAGGAGAAAATGTAAAACTGTATTGGATGGATGGATGGATAGATAATATATATGTATTTGGGGAGTTCATGTGTGCAAGTGCATGTGTGTGTGAGTCAGTGTGCACATTTGTGCATGTGGAGGCCAGAGGCCAGAACACTACCTTGGGTACTGCTTCTTAGGTGCTGTCTGTTTTTTTTTGGTTTTTTTTTTTTTTTTTTTTTTTTTTTTTTTTTTTTTTTTTTTTTTAAGACTGATTTTCATTTTCTGTGTATATTAGTCTAAGTGTATATATGTGTACCACATGTGTACAGGTACTGGCAGAGGGTGTCAGATCTCCTAGAACTGGAGTTCCAGATGGTTGTGAGCATTAGGATCTCAATGCTGAAAATTTAACCCAGGTCCTCCGCAAGAGCAGCAAGTGCTCTTAACCATTGAACCATCTCTGCACACACTCCACCTTGTTTTATGAGACAGGGTCTCTCTCACTGCCCTGGAACTTGGCAGGTAGGCTAGGCTGGCTGGCCAGAGAGACTTAAGAATCTGCCTGTCTCTGCCTCCCCACTGCTGGGATTACATGTGTCCAACCACATGTGGCTTTTTTATGTGGGTGCTAAGGATTGAATTCAGGTTCTGCAAGCATTTTACCAACTGAGCCACCTCCCCATCTCCCTTATTTTCTTTGTATTTTTGAGCCAGTAAAAAAGTAAAAAAAGTCTAGGAAAATTAACATCAGATATTTAATAACTATACAACAGGACTTCATTTTAGGGGGCAAAACTAGAAACATCGAATCTTAAATGTGCAATATCCATTTCTGATATTAAGTAAATAAACTATGAAAAAAAACTCTTCCAAACTACCAAATGACAGGAAAGCTTATTTTACATGCTCTTTACTTCTTAAGTGCTTCTACCTATGACAGGTTGTATAGTACTTACCTGTTTGCTTAACAGGAGAATGTTTACAGTCTGGCCGCCACCAATAGCACCTCTAAACATTGTCATGAACTAAACGGCTTCTTAAAGAAACACACACTTCCTCCCAGAGTTCCAACCGACCTTAATGTTTCAAAATTGCTCAAAATGATAAGCATCATCCACTTATTCACATTCTGACTCCATATCATAAGCCTTTAATTTGGGTTTGTCATTTTAATTATGAATATCTTAAGCAAAAAAATCACCCATTAAAAAAAATAAAACAGAGAGGAAAAGAAGGAAAAGGAAACCAAACCCCAAATTCTGGCTAATTGGATGTTTGTGCTTAAGAGTGAGCACCCCTGAGCTGTTATCACTGAAGTATCAGCATCTAGGGAGCCAAATGGCAGCCTTTGCTGGATGGAGAGATTTCACACACTGACTGAGGATCATCATCTCATTCAGTCTTGTGGCCAAAATAAAGGGTTTCCTTTGGCATTATTTAAGTGTCAAATGACAGTGTGCACCATGCCTGGACTCTGTTTGCCATTGTTCTGATTAGCAGGCGTACAGCTGCCTGTGGCCAGAAACACACACATACAGTGTGCTATGACTCACCTGTGAAGCATTTTTTTGGGAAAATCATATACTGCCTGTACAAGTATTTTTGACTTGCAACAATCACCTTGTGATGTTTATTTACAGCCTCTTGATCGCTTGCATGGCTTGAAAAGGGAAAAGTATATGAAAGTTCACTCTTGGTTTGGGAGAACATGGGTGTGCAGGACATGTAAGGGAGAATGAGCAGGGAAATCTTAGACTTAACAGATCCTTGGGGGGAAAAGGATGAATAATTTAAAAGTGCCCCCACATTGACAGTATCATCATCATCATCATCATCATCATCATCATCATCATCATCGTGCAAAACCCTGGAGATCCCCAGAGAATTTGACTATCTGGGGATACTGGGGATGCACCTACGGCCCTGATGGAAGATGCAGACTCTTAAAGCCTGGATTGCCCTGGCTGCCGGCGGCTCTGAGGAGAGAATGGAAGAAGCTTAAAGGGACAGATGCCTGCCGCAAGGCTCTGGATCCTCCAGCTGGTCGTTCTAAGCCATGCTCCCCTTTCTGGAGCAAGTGAAGTGCATCTGAGAGCAAACAGAGGCAGAGTGTCTCACATCCTTTCTCCTGTACCCACTGAGCTACACTTGGCCCTTCTGGAAACCAGGCGACCTGCGTGAGTGAGGGAGCAGAAAAGGGCTCCCAAACTCAGAAACAGCTATCTGGGAATGGGTGGCCTAAGGACAGTCTAAGAGCCTGGACGGGAGAGGGAGAAAGAGGGCATCTGACGACACCTCTGCGGGTTGTCCAGTTACTGGAGACAAGGAGCAGACCCGCCTCCGACCTCCCGCAGAGCCTCGGCCAGGGTACCTATTCCCAGGGGGCGGTCAGCCAGCTCCCGGCAGTCGCCACTAGAGCGATCACCCCCCATGGTCTCAAGGCCGGAGTTCTGATACATTGCAGCCACTGCCGGTGGAAGAGGGCGCTCACCTTCGCCCCAGGTGGCCCTACCTGGTTCCCTAGTACTTAGAATGAGGTCCGGGACGTTGGCGATCGCTCTAAAAGAGAGAGCGGCCTCGCCCCCGGGCGCCCAGGGTCGCTGGGCCACCCCGCCTCATCACTCCTCAGGCCATAGAGAGCCAGGGGATGGCGAGCTGGGTCCTTTGTTCCCCTCACCAAGTGCAAAGGCAGTTCCCCCCACCCCCCACCCCAAGCCAAACTGAGAAAGAAACCCCGATCGCTGTTATCTCCGGCAGGGCGTACTCGGGATATCTGGTTATTCAAGGGCATGTTTCTCTCAGTGCTGGGGGGGGGGGGGTCATAATCATAATCAACAGTACTTGAAACTGCGGAGCCGCAGGGCAAGGAGGCGAAACATGGCCACTCACTTCATCCTCGGTAGCCGAGCTCCCTGCCCGGGCTCCCCAGCATCCCCGACTCCCGGGCTGGGGTACGGGAGCGAGGGAGGAGGGTGGGGGCCCGGCCGCGTCTCCACCCACCTGCGGCCACAGCCGAGCAGCCCCAGAGCAGAAGCAGCCGTGCGCAGCTCCCCATGGCCGGGCAGCGCCGGGAGCCGGTGGGATGAAGCGGCGGCGGTCCTGGAAACGCCGGGCTCGGAGCTTCCTGGTCCTCCCGGCGCTGGGCTCGTTCAGTGCGCACCGTGGGCGCAGAGCCGCGGGCCGGGGCCACGCCGGGCGGCCGGGGGACCGTCGCGCACCGGCCTGGCGGGGCCCGGGCAGCTCCGGAGCCCCAGGACCATAGCCCGCCGGGCCGCGCTGCCCTGAGGGCGGGTGCGCCGCTAGCCCGGGGCTGAGCGCCGGCAGCAGCCGCTGAACTTTGCGAGACCTTTCACTTCCCGGCCGCCGCCGCCGCCTCCGGGCCGTCCTCCTCCGCTTTTCCCACCTCCTGTGGCCGCCTCGGCTCGGTCCAGTCCTTCTCCACGGGCAGTTCCATGGGATGCATTTTTATTGCACTGACGCCGCGGCGCTCCGGTGCCAGCCCTCCTCCTCCCCTCGCACCTCCACCCCTTCCTCCCGCCCGCCCCCCGCGCTTGACAGCCCGGGCGGTGCTGCAGCAAGGCCGGGTCGCCGCCGCCCCGGGAGGGGTCCCTGTGCCCCCTGCCTCCGCCCCGCATCTCCCCGCCCGACCCCCCGGGTGCCTTCCAGCACCCACGGGCCTCCCCTGGGAAGCAGTCTCCCACCTTCTCCAGGAACATTCCTGAGAACAGTTGACTACCTCCGGATCAGGTCAGGGCATGCCAAGGGGCTTAAAAACTCGCGAAACAGGCGAGCGCCTATTTTCCAACACCCCCCAGCAAAACAAGCCTTCGCCCCTCCGCCCTGCGGCACCTCTTCTCCGCGAGTCCTACGGCCTAGGTTCTGGACCCCACCCCCGAATTCAGCCCTGGGTACTAGCACCCCGAGAGAGTTAAGTGCTAAGCGCCCTCTAAGTCTCTGCCGCTTTTGGGGGTTGGAGGGTGCAGCCCAGATAAAACAGCCACTGCCTACAGGAACCTAGGGTGTACTCCTTTGGGTAAAAAGGGTGTCTTCTCATCAAACTCAAGCGCCTGAAAGACAAGGATCACGGACCAGCTAGTGGGCTATTTAAGCATCCTTGTCCAGGGGCAGGGGCGTAACAAAGACAGAGCCTGGGTCCTTCCATGCACTCCCAGTCTGTAGAGCACGGTGTGCTGCGGAACAATAATGCTATGAAATGTCTTAGGCGAGCAATTTAGTAACAACCACAAGCGGCTAATTGTAGATAGAATTGCTCAGGGCTGGTGTTTATGGAAGGAGATAAAATAGCACTTGAGTCTGGGACTCCTGTAACTTCTGTGAAAATATAATTCTGCTTCCACATCCAAAGAAATTGGCAAAAGTTAAGTCGAATGCAATTTTGTATTGCAGCATTCAGTGTGTGCCTTTGAATATTTTCCAGGAAGCTAACTACTTTACAGATCCTATTCAGCTATTATAGATCAACAGTGTTGGGGGAGGGGGGCTAATTCAGAGCTGTGGGGCACAGGTAAATGTTATTTATAATGACCCAGGCAGGAACCTACCATAAAGTGTCTATCTCCCAGAACTGAGTGGAAGCCAGTGCAATCCGCTGGGAAGCATTAAAATTATTCTTTTGGCCAACCCTGGGAAGTGGCAAACGACAAGGGAATTGTCACCAAATCCTCTGCGTTTTAAATATTGGCAATGCTGAGGCTTCCTTGCACCCTCACAGATATGATAACAAATTCATTGAAATGCCTCTCCAACTGTTCTTTTTATTAAACAAATTATAGAAAGTTATAGCAGCCTAAGGGTGTTAGTCCAGATATTAGCCTAATGGCCAAGAGAAAGAAAAACGAAATATTTGTCATTACTTTCTGGGTTTAGGTTGAAGCAGAGCTACTCCATTTCTAACTACTAATTTCCAAAGCGTTTACTGTCTGCACCAACCCTGAGCAGGTAATGTACTTCTTTGAGTCCTCTAAAACTGGATCTTCCTTCCTTTAGTAAAAGAGCAAGCTCCTTAAATGACGGAGCAGTCTTTTACACTTAGTCTAAGCAAGTTGTTATGATGTTTTTCTTATATTCCTCATTATTCTTAACTGAAAACGCTTGCCATACAATAAATGTTCACTAAATGTTTTGGCTGACTCATATTACAAGTGTTACTATATACTAAGAACAGAAACTAAGATGAAACAGTGAAATAAGAATAATTTCCAGTGTCCTAAAGAAACGTGTACACTCCATACCAATATTTTATATATGAACAGCCCAGAGAATGAGCATTCTAATAAAGTTCATTTGTGTCTGGCGTGGTGCTGCATGTAGTGGGTAGAGGCAGGAAGATCAGGAGTTCAAGGCAGTTTGTGGCTAGCCAGGGTGGCTCACGAGACCCTGTCTCAAAAATAATAATAATAATTTGCTTATATAGTATAAGTTGTTACATATTATATTTTCATTTTGAGTTTACCAGCATAAGGAAATAATGCTCATGGTTGAGTACATCATTGTCTATGATTCTGTCTACTTCTTTTTAAATTTCAAGAACTGATTCAGGATTTTTTTTAAATACTACTAATTAGTAGGAAGCTTAGCAACATTATAGAATTTCAATAGCAAGTTTCCAGAAGCCACATGTTGGCAATGTCAATCTAGAATCTTCTTGATAACTTGGAAGCATGCTTGAATGACCTTTAGTAACTAAAATAGATGGTGAAAAGTCCATGTGTCAAAGATCTTACTAAGAGAGCCCCTTAGGCCTTATTTAGATCATTCCTACAATTTCACTCTGTTTGGTTAGGACGTTCTTCTGGGGCACAGAGGATGAGAACAAGTGTGAATGGAACAGGATTCAGTTAAAGACAGGATTCTGTTAAAGGGGGATAAATGGAGGCAACCTAGTGCTAAGAATGCCATATGGTCAAACTATAACTGTAGGTACAAATGCATAAACACTGTCCCCGCCCCCAAGTACAAACCTCTCAGCCGTCTAAGGCCTGTTAGCACAGAGACAAAGTGTCACAAGGCTATGAAGAGACCACTCTGTAAAAGCAGTACAATCACGTAATGGACCAGAGGATATTCAGAACCAGATAGGACCAACTTACCACCCCACCAGGAGCCCTCTCCATGAAATCTCTGTCCACTGGCCATGCAAATTTTCTTCTGGACATCCCAATGAGTGAAAGAATCAAAAGCAGCACCTTTTATTTTCAGCGCCATTTTTAGTTAACTGTGACATCGCTCTTCTTTTTTTTCTAAATATTTATTATTTTTATTTTGTATGAGTGCATTGCCTGCATGTAAGTACACTCATGTCATGCAGTGCCCACAGAGGTCAGAAGAGGGCATCAGATTCCACTGGAACTGGAGTTACCGATAGTTAGCCGCCATATGGGTGCTGGGAATCGAACCAGGATCCTATGCAAGAGCCACCAATGCTATTAACCACTGAGCCATCTCTCCAGCGCCAGCATCTCTTCTTAAAATGAGATTCATCCTTACAGTTGTTTGCAAGTATACAGAATAAGCCCATTTTCTCTCTTCTGATAGGGTAGTGGGCTTTGTGTGTATGCGTGCATACTGAAATAGGGTATCATTGCATAGCCCAGGTTGGCCTAGAATTTCCTATTTATGCAACCCAGGCTGACCCAAACTCTCAATCCTTCTGCCTCAGCCTCCTGGGTGCTGAGATTATAGGCATGTACCGCCTGATAAGTATTTGAAGATTTGAAACCTCATTTGATTCACCCTCTTAAACACCTCCTCCAGCTGTTTGTTTAAATGTTCATAGGACATGACTTCCAAGCACCCACCATCTTCTTCTCCTCTGTTTTGTACATATTCCAGTTTGCCTTATTCTTGCATCTAAAAGTCAATGTCAAGTATATTTGATCAGTTAGAATAAAAAACTAATAGTGTGTCCTTAACTTAGGTCTAGGGCTTGTAGTTCTGTAGTCTAAAAATACATTGTCAGCTTTGTGAAGTTGGTTGATATGCTTGAAGTTAACTAAAATCTTTTTCATGGACTGGTTTCTTACCCTGAAGATACAGTGCATACAGTAAACATTCAATCAACATTAATTTAAAGGAAAAAATTCCACTGATTCAAATTGCTAGATTTAAAATGCAGTCAAGGGAGGGGAGATGGCTTGGTCAGTAAAGTGCTTGCTTTGAAAGCAGTAAGGACTGGGTTTAATCCCCAGTACCCATTTGAAAAAAAAAAAATGCTGAGCATGCTAGTACATGCTTGTAACCCCAGGACTGGGGAGGTGGAAACAAGGGATCTCTCAGATTTCCTGGCCAATGATTCTAGCCTACTTGACAAGTTCCAGACCACTGAGAGACCCTGTCTCAAAAAAAGTAGATGGTACCTGAGGACCCGTGCCCAAGGTTGTCCTCTTGTCTCCATAAACATTTGCATACGTATGCTCCCCCCAACTCACAATGAGAAATGATCAGAATAGTTAAAGCAAAGTACTTTTAGTATTTAGTGGAATAAATACCTATTTTCTGAATAAAGCAATTGTACACATGAAGCATTTTTCTACATTTCCAGTGAAAGGAAAGACTGAAAATAACACTAATTCCATTACACCTAGGGTCCTTCCTTCATGGATGCATGCAAATCATCTCATTTACCTTCATCATCAATGCCTGTATGCTGCTGCAGGACATGGAAGATCTGTGCTCATTTGTACAAAGAGAAAGGGACAGGAAAGATGGCCCTACCAAACTTAGATCATAAATATACAGATTAATAAGTTGGAGCTGGGACCTAGGTTTGCAGATCAGAATCTTGTTGCTTATCCATCAATCTTCTTGGGTACGACCTTCTCTCTCTCTCAGAACTGGAGGGCCATTTGGAGAAGGTCAGATGGAGAATTGTTTCCATTGAAATCATCCTTTGCTCTGTTTTCTACCTGGCCCCTGCCCTTCAAATGCCCTTTAGGAACATCATCTTGGGAATTTCCTCAGGCTTTAATCTCAGCCTACTGCCAGTGGCTCTACTTCTTATTTCATGTGCTTCCTGGCTACAGCTGCTCATTCCTAGGAAGGGAGTGAGGCCTTTGAAAATACACAAGCTCTTCCAGGAAGGTAACCGGTACTTTTCTTTTCAAAAAATATGCACACATGCTCTCTCATGTTCTAATTAATTATATGGAGCCTAGAAAGTTTAAACAAACAAGAACAGTTCTGTCGTTACTGCATGGATACTACTGTTAACAGCACTATATCCACACACACTGTAAGTGACTTTCCTCCAAAGGACTGTTAAATTGCACTTTTTTTTTTTTTTTTTTTATACTAGGGATTGAACCAAGGACCTTACACTTTAGGCAAGAGCTCTACCATTGAGATACATTCCCAGTGTTTGTTTGTTTGAGGCTAGGTCTCCTTGTAGCCCCAACTGGCCTGGAACTCACTATATAGACCAGGCTACCTTCAGTCTCAGAGAGATCCACTTGCCTCTGCCTCCCAAG